GGCCGCAGAGGCCCCTGACGCTCCCCTGCACCCCCCCCCGCAGAGTCTCCGAGGGGCTGGTGTGAAGCCCTGCGTTTTCGTGTGGCCTCTGCCCCCAGCCTGGGCCACATGGCCTCGCGCTGCCCCAGCAGCCCTGGGCACCGTCCCGGGCCCCTGCCCTGGGGAGTGGCCCTGGCCTCTGCGTCTTCTCTGCCCAGCCACCCTCCCCCCAGAGCCCGACAGCACGTCAGGAGGGCCCTCTCTGCTCCGACCGTCCTCAGGGAACAAGAATGGGGGTCTGTGACTCATCTCCGTCCGCCTCTCCCACCCACCACCTTGGCCCTGAGACCCCACCTCAAATCATGCAGCCATCCAGGCCCCCGGGGCCAGCTTGGGCCTGGGCTTGTGGGGCCAGCAGCTGCTGGGAGAGGCTGGGCAGGGGCCCAGAGCTCCTGTGACCTCCAACCCTTCCACCCAAAAAGAGGGAGGAGGAGAGGGGCTCTCTGATTCTCTGCCTCCAGGCTGGCCCTGCAAAGACAGGCCAGCATGGCTTCCAGTGAAGGCCTCCCAAACTGTCCTTCCCTCCCTCCCTCCACAAGGGAGCAGGGCAGGGGGCCGACTGCATTCTCTAGGGTTCTACAATGCCCACGGGTCCCTGGGCCCAGATTCTATGTTGATAGGACTATACATGTGCACACGTGTGCTGGCATCAGTGCAGACGTGCGCATGTGCATACAGACGCTCGCAACGTCACAGCACACAGGCCTGGTCACCTGCCGCTCTTCCCACCTGGACATGCATGTTGACACCTGCACGCCCCTCCTAGCTGACTGCCCGAGAGCTGGCTTGGGGTCTCCGTGGTGACCTGACAGGCACCCTGAGCTCTGCCCGGGCCCATCCTCGAGGCTGCGGTTCCCTCCCAGCTCCAAGGCCCCGGCCCAGGGAGGAGCCAAAACCCAGCCTCATGTGCTGGTGCCCTGAGAGGCTGCATCAGCCGGGAGGGGGCACTGTGTCTAGCTTGCCTGCCCCGAGGTACCGTAGCTCCTGGTGTCCAGTGCACACCGGACATCAGCTCTCAGAGGGGCCACCATCTTCCCCCACCCACTCCATCCTCTCCACAGGCACCTTCATCAACACGGAGGGCAGAGCCCCAGACTGGTCAGTCCCGCACGGTTAGCTGTGTCCGAGCCTGCACCGCGCCGGCGGTGGGTCACTACCCTTTCCTGCAGACCAGAGGGCAGCGCGGCTGCCAGGAATCGAGTGACCAGCAGACCTCCCAGGTGGGCGCCCGGGCGCACCGTGTGTGGGGTTGGGGACTGCAGGCGGTCACGCGGGTGGTGCGTGCATGTGGGTGGCGGGAGGACAGGCTGCAGGCAGCGGCACTTGGGGGGAGGTCGAGTCTGCCAGCAGGTGGTCTGTGTTCACATCCCGCCTTGTCTCTGGCTCTGCAGCCTGGCCTCGAGGAGAAGACGTTTTGAGTTAGCACCCTCTCTTCTTTCCCAACACGGGGAAAACCCTTTGGCTTTCTTGACAGATCTGAATGCCTCCCCAGGGGGCACCTCCTAGGTGTCTATGAAGTGGGGACACCACAGGCCACCCCAACAGGGATGCTCTGAAGACTGGCCCACAGGAAGAGTGAGGTGTGCACTAACTCACTGGTCTGTCGTCGGCCTGATGTGCACTAACTCACTGATGTCGTCGGCTAAGCAGTGGTTCTCAGTCGACTGTGCCCCCAGAGGACATTTTTGCAGTGTCTGGAGACATTCTGGTGGCAATACCGGGGCAGGGGGTGGGGGTGACTGGTGTGTGGTTGACAGAGACCAGGGGTGCCGCTAACACCTTTCAGAGCGCAGGATGCCCCACACGGTGGGTCACGGCAACCTGAGAGGCAAACTGAGA